CAAAGAGGCAGAGTTTTTGGGGGCATATTCCCACCCCGTGTGTCACCCTACCGTTTTAGTATCTTCGGTCATACGCGCCTAGATCTCGTGTACGAACACTCGGAAAAAATACGCAGATTTCGTTGGCGGGAAACGATTTCGTGATCTAGGCAAAATAGAGAGTTAAAAAAACTTGCAGAGATATTCTCTGTGCATGTAAAAGCTAAAGATTTCAAATTTAGCTACCGCGCACGTCTGCACCATGAGTACAGTCACGTCAAAGTTCGCAGCTGGCACTGTTTGAACTCAAAAATTAGCCGGGAAATCGTAGCTAAAATTTTGTCGGAGTATTTATTGTTCATATAGAAAATCGTACACCTAAATTGAGTTTCGATTTGCGCTTGCGCCACGATTTAGGGCACTTTAAAAATATTTGTAACGAATTGGCTGCTTCGCTTGCCAGACAATCTACGAATCTGAAATATTGTGAGGATATTCTATATTAATGTGTAATTTAGCTTGAAGATGGAATTCTATGCACGCAAACATGACATATACTCGATTTTGTCGCAAACTCAAAAACGAGTGCATATTACGGATTTCGTAATCCTTTTCCGATTTCCTTCAAATTTACATTTTTTCAATGAACGAGCATTCATCGCAAAAATGACCAGGCCTCATGCAAGAATTGATAATCATGCACGCTGGAATCCACGTGGCTCCATAATGCTAGAGCTTCATCCCAGCCGATTCCTGTCCTCCGCCCATGCGGGAAGAAGCGAAAACACAGCCAATATGAGTCCAAGTGTAGTGGTTACATTTTCAAGCAAGCACAAGGTGCACCAATGGGCGGTAATGCTAGTCCTGATATTGCCGATCTCACATTGTCAGTCATGGAGTATCGGTTCCTTTGTAAGAACTCCGGTATTCATCTTCATCTCTTTCGGTATATCGATGGCATTCTTATTGTTAACTGTGCCAGCTTTGCTGAAATTGTCAGTAACATCTACGGGACCCAACCTGCAATTCAACACCGCTTGCTCCGGACAAAGGCCTTGTTTTTAAGACCTCAAAATTTTATGTAGGGAGGGTAGATGTATTTTAAACATGTACAGTAAGGCCTTGGACTACCCATTCACAGTAAGTCATGGAGGGTATCCAGATAGAGATATGGACCAAACGGTGCAAGAAGGTGTCATTATATCGCAACTTATATCGTTTTGCATGTGTGTGCACTCTTTCAGAGGTGTTCCATGAGTGGGCTAGACGGCCTGTAGGTATCTATAGACATAAAAAGTTTGATATTACCAAGATAGAGCGCGTCGTTCTCAGGTTCTGCTTCAGGGACCGGTCAGTACTCAGCAAATTCATCTTTCCTGATGGTTCAGGAATTAAACGCCTAGTCAGCACGCTATTCTTGTAAAAAGCATTTACTCATAATTGACATATAATGGTTGTTCGTATAATGGGTTGATTTTCTCTCTCCTCTCCTGTCTCACTGTATTTGCTCTCCCTCTGATTCCTCTTTCTTTCGCATATCTGCCTTGTAAATTAGCCACAGATGGCGGGTAGGAGGCTGTACTGATGATTCTCGCTCCTGCATTAATCGATCTGTGTTTACAGCTAAGGGATGAAACACAGATGAACTACAT